TGACTATGCTGCCTATTGTATTGGCAGCTGTGCATTATCCCGGAGTCTCTTTGTGTGAATATAGTTAACTTCACATATCTAATGGATAACATTTTTTAAAAGAATATAAATCTTTCTGTATCTTTAAAACAAAGACTATAATGTGTGAGTGTGTGTATGCTGTTTTATAATGGAAAAAAAAACTTGTATAAAAACAAAAATGTATTGAAACATGCTATGGAAGTATTCAGTGTGTGCCCTAAACAGATGCTTCTTGAATTGACAAAGCAGAAAAATATAAACTCAACATTTAAAGAAAATTTATCTCGTGAAAAATGGTTTTTTCAGACACTATGTATTATATTTCCCTGCCACACAGTCACTGAAACCTGTGGAAAGTCATAATGACCTTAAGTAAAACCAAAAAGGCGTGGATCACTGAAATATAGTGGCATAAATTAAAGAAGAGAAGCTAGCTGATTTTTCAGTCTGCAATGCCTTGGTTCATTTCACCAAAGGTGAATAGCAATGTTGTTTCAGTGTTGTGCAATGAAACCTGCTCATGGTGTTTTTCTGCATTTAAAATTCTGACTAGTTGCCAAAGTTTATCTTTAAACACCCATGCTTGAACAAGTTCAGACAAAATGTTCCTAATCATAACTTGCTCTGCTTTCATTTTTATCTAGTAGATTTCCTTTATGAGTGACAGACTAAGCTACGAACATTCAGGCATAGGACATAAAAATACCTATGATGACAGTATTTCAAAGCATCAAATATTTATTTTATATGCAGTTGTTAAAATTGCAGATTTTGGAATCAGTCACCTGGATTTGACTAAGTAGTTCTGCAAATCATTAGCGGCATGACTTGGAACTCTGTTCCCTTCTCTACAACATAGCAATACTGAAAGCATCTATTGCATATATTTGTTGCAGAGAGTAAAAGAAATAAGGCATGTAAGCATCTAACACTGTGCCTGACTTGTAGAAATGTGACCTCGATCACATCGGGGTCACCACCTGAGATGCTGATTGCCACCTGCAGAGGTCTGTCCTGCAGACCCTGACTCAAGGACAGATGAATAAATGCACTCTCACACCTATTTCAAGTGAGCTAGGGATGGTCGTCAGCTGCTTTCAGAGGGTGAATGCAGCCAACTGACCAAGATCCCCTGTCCATTCTCACGTTTATTCAGTATGGATTTAATAACAGAAGTTCTAAGTCCACAGGCTTGTGGATAATTAACATGGTTAAAAGCGTTTTTACGAATGATAAAAGCATTAGGCTCTGGGGCCCAGAGTAAACAACCTTAAGTGGTAATTCCCCTTCGACCTCCCCCTCAGAGGACCATCCAGCATAAAGTTTACATAAATAACAGTTAGAGTAAAGACAAAGGGATGTGGACTAAACAGACTTAACTGGGAAAACTCTTATCATCTCTATATGTTTCCTACACTAATGTAATGAACCAGCTGCCTTCAGCCTGTCCCAGTAAAATCTTTCGTCCTTCCAAAAGGTTTGAGACTATAATCTATAACTTTCCCTAATATTTCCCTAGTATTTTGCCAGCCACCCCAAGTGAACCCCAACATAGAAAGTATTCAGCAAATATTAACTATTATTGTTGATACTGTGGGTCTTCCACGTAGCAAACTCCATGATATTACATGGTCACAAAAGATCTGCAGAATAAGTATAATTGTCTCTATTTTACAAAAGACTGAGACACAGAGAAGAAGCCAAGAAGTGATAGCAACTGGTACAAGGTTGGACAAAGATTCAAACCCAAGCTTCTTGCCTCCTTGATGTATGACCTACCTAATATAATACCAGGCTATTTATTTAAATTAATTAAAATTACATAAAGTAAAAACTTTAGTGCCTCTGTTTCACCAGCCAGATGTCAAATCTCAATAGTCATGTGTTGCTAGTAGCTATGATATTGGACAGCACAGATATGAAATATTTCCATCATTGCAGAAAGCTCTATTGGACAGTATTGTAGCCTGTATCTCTACTATCTCTCTAGGCTGGTTCACTCTCAATTTAATACATTTTTCTAAAAATCTTAATAAATGCTCATCAATAAATTACTTACACAGCTGTAGTAAAGGCAACACATTTACTATAGGTAATCAGGTAGACAACACCTAATTCCATCTAATAGTCTACATAGGAATGGAAAATATATTTTTAGACCAATTACCACAGTGTCAGAAATCTAGAAGAATTTCCAGCTGCAATTTAGGCAATCGTTTTGTTCAGTGATAAGAACAAATAGTGATGAGAAATCCTAAAACCAATATGATAATGCCAAGTGAGTCTTTAACACCCCATTTACCTCTAATACTCCATGAGCCCCTGATTTCTAAAACGCTTAAAGCTGTTTTCAATAAGCCTTTAAATTTTCTGTACATGGTCCATTTAAGTGTGAGCTTTGGTAGGAGGAAATGGTGATTTGTTATTTATGCCTTTTTTGTGACTTTAATGCTGATGTTTTGGTCAGTAAATTTTTCTTCTCACTAAAACCCAAATGACCTTTCTAGTGAGGCAGTCAACATGTAATATGTATACCATTTATCGTCCTCTTCCTGCAAACTGTTTAAATTGGTATCAAATATTACAATCTGGGGACTGTAAACACAATGAGAAAATAGGAGTGGCAAAGAAAACAATCACATAATCCAATATTCAAAACAAAGCCTCATCTATTGCCTCTCTGAGAATAGGCTCTTACCATATGAAATGAATCCCATTTGCTTTTGAAAAGAATTGAGGTATGAGGAACAGCCCTGGGGAACTTCCTGAATGTGAAGAGTAGCTGGGCATTAAGAAAGAACATTAGACAAGGGATCAGAAGACAATACCATCTTGATATCCTAAACATATCTCAACTATAGCCATGATTGTATTTTAATTGTCATCTTCCATGTCCAGTTCTTCTACAGACTGTGAGCTTTTCAAAACCTATTGCCTATTACCATGCCTTGTGACGTTATAAAATATTAGCCTTATTGAAAAGATAAACCAACAAATGGCATTGATTGGGTAGCTCATAAAATCAGGAATACTAAGAGACTGTATCAAACCATCCTTCCTTCCTCCCCCAAAATGTATAATCATCCTGAAACCGTCATGCCTCATTGTCTGTTATTACTTTAACCAACTTGCTCTGGTCTAATAAAACACAGCCCATGTGCTGACCTGTTTCTCTTTGCTAAGGTGACTTGGTTAATATTAAATTCTAAGGTTTTCTTAAATATCAGAAGCACTTGAAAAGCAATGCTTAAGGAGCTGGAAAGACTGTAGTTCTTTAAGTTCTGGTTACTCCTCACAGAGAGAAAAAGAGTTAAAATTGGGAATTCAGAACCAGTGGCTGGGTATCAGCTCAACTTTCAGAGATGATACAGTAAGTCGCTGGGGCCTGCGGAATGTGTTCAGTACTAATGAATATTAGCATAGTCAAAAATAATTAATGTAGCACTAGGGAGGCCTGATTTACAGTTTGCAATTTTGGTCCTGGAAATTCTGGCTCATTTTGCAAGCTGCTATGTTTAATAATCCAGAAACTTTGGCAATATATACATTTATAGCCTAATCAGGCCTGCGTACATACACACACCTACTCACCTCTGCCAATGTCCTTATGCAACTAGCTGGTGGAAGAGCAAGAAATGGCTCCCTGCACCTGCACGTATCTTTTTACTACTAAAACCCACTATCTGACTTCTCCAAAAATTCCCATTTCTGCAGAAACAGCTATCCTGACATCAAAGAAGTAATGACTTCCAGTCCACAACTACTACAAGAGGCACTGACCCATTCTTCATTATTAAACAGGGGGCTTTATTTTGTTTCTATAAAATGACACATTCCCCAGCTAGGAAAGTAAAGCATTGCTCACAATGATATTCAGATCATAAATTCTCATTATGTCATGTTTTAGGAAGGCTTACCTTCCTAAGGCAATTTTCTAACCAAGAAAGGAAGAAATCAAATAGATTAGCTAGAGTTAGACTTTTCCTGAATGCAGCTGGTAATATCTGTGTTATTTTCCATGGCAAATTTGCATTTCCTCTGTGTTCTACTTCCTTTGTGAGAGCCTGGTTTGCAAGCCAATTATATTTTACATTTTTCTTTCTGTTTTCTCAATTAAGCATTTTTATGAGCATTTAATCATGAGGAATGAGAGAGCTAAGGGAAGGCATTTGACCTTGTCTGTGTGGCAGTCCCACAAAGGGTCTATGTCAGGCGTCCCCAAACTTTTTACACAGGGGGCCAGTTCACTGTCCCTCAGACTGTTGGAAGGCCACCGCATACTGTGCTCCTCTCACTGACCACCAATGAAAGAGGTGCCCTTTCCTGAAGTGCGGCAGGGGGCCGGATAAATGGCCTCAGGGGGCCACATGCGTCCCGCGGGCCGGGCCATAGTTTGGGGACGCCTGGTCTATGCATTCCAGGAACATACCTTCATCTATTCTTGCTCACTCCAAAGGATGACTTGATCCCAGAGGTTGCTTCTTATCAGGTAAAATAAGAAGGAAGAAGAGCTGTACCATGTCAAAGCTCTCCTCAACCTTCAGATCCTGAGAATAGGTGTAGGCTGTTCTAACCTACCATTTTGATCTTATCACCTATATGGAGCTGAGCAATATAATTTGGCTGTTAATACTTACAGTATCTCAGAGTTATTCCTAAGCAGTGTCCATGCAGAGAAGACCTAGGAACATACAGATCAGGAGCCATTCATCAGCTAGACAATATTCCCTTAACAAGTGAGGCATATCGAATACCTGCTATGGGCCAGACAGAGTTATAAGCAGGAGGCACGTAACAGAATGGTGTGGCTCCAAGAAAGAAAAGCCTAGTGACTTGGACATTTCTAACGTAAATAACATTTAATAAACTCCATTATAAATCAGTGATCAACTTAAATGAACTAGTCCCTTCTCTGAGGTTATCATCCTATGTAAAAACAATGTAATCCCATCTGTTTTCTTCATCTTTTCAATTCACAGAATGTCAATACTGGGGCTCAGAGCTCCAGCTACCTACTCTGGATTTTGAAGATGTTTTACGATATGACAAACACGCATACAAGTGGCTCTCCACCCTCAAGAAAGTAGGCATAGTACGACTCACCGGAGCATCTGACAAACAAGGAGAAGTTTTAAAACTTGGGAAAAGGATTGGTTTTCTCTATCTCACATTTTACGGGTGAGTCACCAAATGGTTTGTATCCTGCCATCACAGATAAAGTTTGATGTATTTCCCAACTGAGGAAGACCTCCTTGATTGAAGATACAGAAATTTTCGTAATGTCTTGAGTAGAAGTCAGATGGAAAGAAGAGTCTAAAAGTAGTATTTTGCTAAGAATGATAATTTTTAAGAGCCTAAAAGCCTAGAGACACCAGGCACCATAGACATAGGCTAGTTATAGGTGGTGTGTATAGTCTGCTTGGGTTGCCATAACAAAATATCACAGATCAGAAAAGTTAAACAGCAGAATTTTTTTTTATAGTTCTGGAAGCTGGAAGTCTAAGATCAAGGTACGAGTGGGGCTGGTTTCTGGGGAGGACTTTTTCTGGCTTGCAGATGACTGCCTTCTCACTGTGTCCTCCCATGGCCTTTCTTCTGTGCATAGCACAATCTTTCTGTCTCTTCTTCTCATCAAGACACCAGTCCTATTAGCTTAGGGCCCCAATCTTATAACTTCATTTAATCTTAATTACATCCTTAAAGGCTCTATCTTCAAACATTGGGGGTTAGGGCTTCAACCTATGAATTTGGGGGTACATCACTTATTCCGTAACAAGTGTGATGAAAGACCGTGTTTCTCCAAGACTTTACAACATATTAAACTTTATGTTAAAGTTTATTAACTTTTACCTCCCAAGAGTTGGCTGAAATATAGTTGGGCCCTGAGAAATTAAAATCAGCCACAGACATGCTAAAAAGATAGAACTAACATTTGTAAAATTAAGCCTATGTGCTTCAGTCAGTAACAGGGAGATATAATTAATTTTAACTTTGGAACAAGAGGCTGTTTGCATAAGAATTTCCTGGGAGGTAACATTAATTACAAATAGTGAAGCACTAACAACAGGAAACACTTATGTAGATGTGGGAGTATAACTGTATTTCTTTAGAGTGAGCCCCTCATGTGAAATTAATACAATTATTCTTGGGCTCATAGAGTAGAGAGCATTGAAAGTGAAAGGAACTTTCCAACTCCAAAGGTTGCAACTGGAAGCACACAAGCTGTATTCGGATGTTTGGTTTGGCCCACACGATGTTGAAATAAAATGGAATTAGTTGTCAACACTTAAAAACTGGGAGATTTTACATTACATGTGGATCTGACTTTTCTTGAAAAATCAGATCTAGCAACAACAGAGCCTAAATCCTTGCATGCCAACGATCTGCTGATACAAGTAGAGGCCGCCCTTGAAGAGAACATAGACTCACTCTCCATTTTGCCAAAATCCTCCACCCTCTCCAGACCTGTAAGGGCCCTGGTACCCTTAAGGTTTGCCACCCCTAAACTAGAGTAAGACTTGGTCTATAGATAACAGCAGACCAAAATTACTCAGTGTCTAAATATCTCTGCCATGTTTAGACTTGGACAACCCAGCACCTATTCTGACTCCAAAACTTACATTTACCATTAGTAGATTTCTGTTGTATAAAAATTTGAATGTTAACTGCCATAGATATTACAGCAACAACAGACAAAGGAAAGAGGGAGAACAGTCTTAAAATTATAAAGAGCTTCAACCATATTATGTATTCTTCATTTAATTCTCATAATGACTTTCTGAAATAGATATACTTCAGTTCACTGATAAGGAAACTGAAGCCCAGATAATTAATTATAACCAAGTGTCCACAGATAGTAATAAAGGAACCAGAATTTGAATCTGGGTCTGTCCTATCTATGGGCTTTCTATTCTATCTTTCTGTCAATAATATGAAGAAAGAACATGGAAAAGAAGAGCTTTTAGCCACTGGTGTTAAACCGGACACTTCAAATCTCTTCTAAGTCATTTTACTTCATTTTTTATTTACTGACAACAAACTTTTTGTATCTATTCCAAGGCACTTCACAATTCTAAACATTGCCAAGTTTTGGGCTCTTCGTTGGAGTTCCCTAAACTACCCCACAAACCCATCACACTAGGGGTCAGAATCTTTGTTTGATTTATTATGTTTGTTTTGAAGACGTTCTGTTTTTGTAGGACCTATAAAAGGGCTTAATAATTTGGCCACTGATCTAATATTGTGAAATGATTGGAATAAATACTAAAGGTCTGTTGTCAAAACAAATCAGACCTCCTACTACTATTCCATGTCCTTTATGGAACTTCTCATCTAAACAGATAAGTTGAACCTATCCCATCTCACCTTCCTTAGATGATTACAATTCTTACCTGAATCTCTCAAATTATACACGTCAGAAAATGCCTCTCTTACCACCTTACCCCTTACTTCCACCACTGATGATCAAGATCTCACCACATATCTTTTGACAATTTTTAATTCTCTACTTCAAGAACTGACAGAACAGTTTTGTTGTTTTTGTTATTATTGTTTTGTTTGCTTTTTTTGTTTTTGTTCACATTGTCCAGAGAATAAGAAAAATGAATATTTTCTCTAACATTGTCCCCTTTTTCCATTTCTCTGCATAGTAATGTGCAAAAGTGATATGAAGCCTGGGCAACACGGTATTTAAAAGAAGAAGGGAATCTTACAACAGTGGTTCTCATCCTAAGCTGTATTGGAATAGCCAATTTAAAAAATACAGACATCTGAATCCCATCTCCAGAGTTTGTTTTCTTTTTTAATTTTTTTTAACAGTACTAGTATTTGGCCTGAGTATCAGGACTTTTCAAAACTCTGCAGGTGATTGTTTTGTGCAGCCAAGGTTGAGAACCTCTGGCTGAAAGGAAGGGGTACTTAAAGAGAAGGCAGTTCTCCCAAGGGATAGAACTTGGGTGCTTTACATATGAATTCTCACAATGATGTGAACTAAATGGCATTTACCACATTATGTTTTCTACTTTGGTTGTGCCTGAACATGACATCTTCAGAACAGACTTAGTAGCTGCCTTTTTTTAAAAAAAAACTGGTACACACTCTTCACACCTATATTTCAAGTTTGGAAATGCATATTTGCAAGCAGCAATACAAAAGTCTTCATGAAGAATGCATAATCTCTGAAAATTATGAAAACATCCCTGCTACAAATATGCTTCTAAATACAAAACTGACTACCATATTTGTGACTTCTGTGTAGCGAGAGAAGTTCATTTTTAAAACAGATAAAATTCAGTCTTTAGGTGTGAATGGTATGAATGACAGTCTCTCTCTCTCTCTCTCTCTCTCTCTCTCTCTCTTTTTTTTTTTTTAATTTCTTAGTTGTTCAGAATCCTTAAGCATGCAAAAGCTTTGAACAGAAGGGTTCACAAAGGAACCAGGGTTATCTTATGGCATCCATTTAAGCCAGAGCTGGGAACGCCTCTGGGTCATCCACATCAGTAGCTGCCTTAAACAATGTTCCTCTCTTTGATATATTTGTTTCTCCACTGGAAAAGTAGCTTACTCTTATTTGAAAACTAATTGGTTGATGAGTGAGTGAATGGAATGAATAAGTGCACACAATAAATAATGGAGGAGAGCTACTGAAACAATAGGAGAGGGATAGAGAAAGGAAAGTAGGAATAGATTAAAAGTAAACTTTGCTCTTCATGCAGACATTTTAAGGAAACTTGTGACTGCTCTTGGTTAGATGCCTAAAACAATAATAACTTGCTGCTGGTGCCATGTTAGACATGACTTCCTTGGGAAACTAAAACCCACCTCTCACTTTTCCATTCAAGTAGGGTTATTAGTTTGAAAAATGTTAAATGCAAGAATCCAAAATGAGAATGAGAAGAGCTATTTTTGTTTCTTGGCAGTCATCTCAATTGTTAAGTGGTTGGTTGGATGAACAAAAAACAGTAGATTCCAGCATTTCATGTAGTCTTCATATACAGTAGGCAAGGAATAAATGTTTAATGAATAAGTCATGCCTAAATATTTAAAATGGACTATAAAACAGCAGATGAATGCAATAATTATTAGAACCTTTCACCATTATAAACTTACGTTCAACTAAATCAAAATGGCAATAACTTTCAGGACAAAAGTGCATGTCATTTTCCACATCTGCATTTTCTCAGACGTTTGTCATTATTTTGTCAGCACATCATCTAGACAATATTTTTTATGCAACCATGTGAAATGCTCAGTAACTTTACTGAGTTGATAATGATGGGACAAAAGAATATGAGTGAGTAAAGAAACTCTCATTGTCAGTTTTGTCAAATACATGTAAACATGGAGCAGTATGTAAAAAGACAAACTTTTGAGAATTTAAACCTTTGATTTAGGACAAGTTTAACAGACCAGTGCTAAAATACCTCATCTTATGTCCTCTTTCTTCCACAAAAAAAAAAAGAAAATTAATGAAAATAATTTTCTTGAGCCCTTTTGGAAAGGTAATATTATTGAAGAAATAAATTTTATGACATGACTTAATCCATTGGGAAATAGTTACTGTAAACTATACCATACACAGTCATCTTCAATGATTATACCAAGTTAGAATGTTTTTTTAGAATGTATCTTACAATGTAAATCCCAAAGAAACTATAATTTCTGTCAATCAAACAGAGTATCTTTCTTGAATACTAATATGTGCATGGCACTGTACTTTGCATTTTGTTCTGAACTAATGGGTTTAGATTTGGGTTGCTACTTCATGAAAAATTATCTTTTGTAATTGCTGTGTGTGGATGAATGTAAATACTTTAATTGGCTTCCTTTAAATAATCCAGGCCAATAAAAATTCCATAAAACCAAGGAACAGACTGAAAAGTAACCCTGGACTTTTGGCATTTCAAATGAGGGAACATCACCGTCAATGTATACCAACAGTTCAAAGAGGGTGGATGACAGAAAGGTGATCTTCTCCCAGCATGCTACAAAGCATGTCAAGATGGGGCAATATTCAGCTACCAATATCTTTAAACAAAATGAATCCACTCCTCACAATTTACACAGGCTACCATTGTGTAAATAGGTGTGGCTTAATAATATAAATTTAATTAAGATTATGCAATGCCATGCAGCCCTTCCTCCCATTCTTGAGCTAATTCAATTCAGACACATGCCAT